TCAACCTTTGCTAGTTTTTCCAAAACTTATATGTGGTAGTCAAAAGCAATCATTTTGTCAGCAACATGCTGTTTCCGTGGTTGCATTACAACGAATGTAACGATACAGTTTTATTTACAGCAGCCGTGGCGCAGTGGTAGCGCACTTGCCTCAGAAATAAAGGATCCGTGGTTCAAACCCCACCTCTGGGCAAGTTTTGCGATATCGGTTAGGAAGGAGGCGTGAACTTCCGATTAAATGCTCATCCGCGGTGCTCTGTGATAAGACTGTAAGGACTTCTTGGGGCACCTAAATAAAATTAAAAAAAATGCTACTATTGTATGTTAATGGAAATGATAATTTATCATCTTCAAAATGCAGCGAAGATGTTTTCACAAAAAATGGATTTTCTAATTGGAAATAGAGTTACAAATATTCCAGAAACACCAAAATACTCCATTACATTGAGAAGCCATTGAAAAGGTAATGACTATTCTTTCAAGAACTAAAGGTATTGGTGAACCTCAAAATCTAAGCAGAGGAAAAAATGAAAAATAGAGCAATATTAATAATAATAATCGCAAATATTTAGTTTCTCACAAGACAAGGTATTGCTCTGCGTGGTAATTACAATACAAACAAAGACTATAAAGAATTTAATTCGAACTTTTCTCAGTTACTTAATCTCAGAAGCAAAGATAATCTTGCTTTAACTAAATGGATGAGAAAGTCTCAAGATAAATTTACAAGTACAACTACCAAAATGAAACTCTGCAAATAATGGGTCTCATTATACTCAGAGAAATTATATCCAACATTTGTTGAAAATGATTTACTAATATGGTTGATGAAACCACATATCAGACCAACACTAAGCAAATGATGATTTACTTGCGATATTTAGATCAAGCTGACTTGGAAGTGCATAAATTCTTTGTTGGACTTTACAGTATGGAAAACAAATCTACTGTAAGTATTACTGCAACTATCAAAGATGTTCTAATGCGGATAAATCTTTCAATTAATAGTTGTCGCAGTCAATGTTATGACGGTGCCAGGGTCATGACAAGTTGCAAGTCTGGAATTGCAAAGAGAATAAGTGACCTCGAACGCAAAGCACTATATTCCTATTGTTATTTTCACGCTTTGAACTTAGCAGTACAAGTTATGCTTAAAAGTATCAGCATCATAAAAAATGCTCTGAACACTGTTTATGAAATTACAAAGTAGATAAAAAAAATCTCCCAAACGTGAATGCCTTTTCAATAAGGTAAAAGAAAACATTCTCTCCGGGACACCCGGTATTCATATACTCTGCCCTACACGCTGGATTGTAAGAGCAGAATCATTTTATTCCATATCTGAAAACTATGAAGCTCTACAAGTTACTTAAGTAAAAGCTAAATCTGAGACAAAAGACAGTGAGATTGTCGCTCGAATAGACGGAGTTGCAGAACAAATGGACAAATTCCTTGCTTGGAATTGAATCAGTCAAGACTCTTCTATGCATGGTAGACAATTTATTAAAAAGTTTGTAAAAGGTTACACTTTTGGCTACTGAAGGTCAAAAATTTGTTGAAAGAACTTTGGTTACATTGAAATCTATTCGGTATAAAAATTCATTTGAGCTATTCTGGAACCGTATTGAAATCAAAAGAAAATTGCCTCAACTAGAAAAACCTTTTTTGCCCCGCTATCGCAAAGTACCTCGTTATTTTGAAATAGGAGCATCTGCATCAGTTTTATCTGAAAATTCTAGTTGTGACTTTTTCAAGAAGATTTATTTCGAAGCTATAGAAATGAAAATTGGCAGTATTCAATCTATTTTTGAAGAACAAGGATATTTAATGCTTCAAAAGATAGAATCAGTACTTATAAATGTTTCATCTGAAGGTAGTTCAATAAATAAAAAAGGTCTGTCTTTCTATGCAGATTTGAATGTTTCAAGACTGCATGCGCAATTTCAAGTTATGCACGAATCCACAACTGAATCATTAGACACTTACAAAAAGTCTTTAATTTTGTCAGGTAACATATGAATGGATCTCCTATAAACCTCATTGCTATTTATTTAATAATTACGGCTGCAGTGTATTTCAAATTGACCAACATAAGCAATAAAATGTGTATTAGTATGCTAATATAAAAAATAATTTTTTGTGTTTTACAGAGAAGCAAATGATTTGAAAAGGAATTGTTATCAGAAATCAGGAAGTTGATAAAACTTATCCTTCTGATACCAACAAGAAGCGCTACTAGCGAGAGAGCTTTCAGCACACTACGAAGAATCAAAACTTGGTTAAGAAGCACCATGAAACAAGCACGATTAAACTGGTGTATGCTGTTAAATACACACACACAAAACTAATGAATTGAACATCATAGATATAGCCAATGATTTTTGTAGCCGAAGTGAAGGTAGAAAACTGTATTTGGATAGTTTTCTACCTTCACTTCAGTTTCAAAAATCTTGAAACTGCTATAATGTTTTATAAAGGTCTTATAAAATTTGTTTTCCGTCTCTGATCTATATTTTAATTTCCAAATCACGTACGCAATCTAAAATATTATACAAGGCCGAATTTTACTTCATATCATTAAAAACATTTTTAAATAATAAATTACCTCGAAAACCCACGAGAAATCATATTTAAAAAAAAGTTACTATAATACATATAGTATAGGCAATGCTATAGAACTCTGAGAAGTTTTATTGTTAAGAGACATGTTATTCGCGCTCCTACTCTTCATAGCGCCCCCCTCCCTCTTTAGATTAAATAAGTTGTCTACGGCCATGTAAGCTTAAAATTAGTAGTGTATATTAGTTTTCACTTCAGTAAATACATGAAAAAAAACTCTTACGCAAAACGAGTATCATCGAAAACCATACCCTGGTGGTAAAAGTAACTGCTTAAGATTTTGCTGATGATGCTAACATGTTACTTTTCAAGAGATCACTTAAAAAATTAAAAAAGATTTTATTTATTATCTTAAAAATCTTGTTTAGAGGCTTCGTTCGATAAAAAACTTTTAATTCTAATAAAACTAAACTTATTAATTTCTAATAAAACAGAAATATTTATCTCTAAATTAAATCTAACAACAATTAAGATGTACTGAAATTTCAGATTAAGCGGACGAAAAATTATTCATAAAGGGACTATCCATAAAGGACGTCACCATTTTTTAGCCAATTTTTGACCCTTTCTCCCCCCCCCCTCCTTCTTTATCACCGGTATTATAAACCTCCCAAAAAATTATTTCATCTCGGAATGATGTTTGAATCTGCTGCTACACCTTTGATAAAATAAAATTAAAAATATTCTCATACATTATCTTCTTAAAAACACATATTTACATAGTTTTTCATGTTAATTAAACTAAAATAAAAAATCTATAAAGTAACGGTCCTTTTCTGAACCCCCCCCCCATCTCCTTGTCTTTTTTTGTCCTTTTTATTTCGACCCCCTCCCGTCCTTTATGGATGACCCCAAAGTCTTTATAAATCCTGAGTTTCATGATTTATATTATTAATAAGACACAGTATAATTGATGAAGTCAGAATCACCCAGCTATACGTTAGTAAATTGTATTACAAACAGTTTTGTTCTAAACTCATTTATCATGTACAAATTTTTTTTTTCTAACTTACATGAAATGAAAGGGGTTTGATGATAAGACTGCAGTCTTCTACCTGCTCATGTCATTATTTTAATTTTTATCTTATATATAAATGTATACATATAAATATAATTGTGTTTATAAACGTATTAACGTTAAATGCACGTAAAATATATAGTGGCAATATAAATTACAATTATAATTAAAAAAATAACAAAAAAAACAACTTTAGAACAAAGTTGAGAGATACATTGGCTCAACATTGGTCGCCAATGTTGTTTTTATATTATTTTGGTTACAAATGCAACGTCGGTAACAGTTGAGATCCAACGTCGGCACAACTATCAAAAAGTCAGAAATGGTAAAGCTACATTACAAATAATTTATTGGTCAATCAAACTTACACACGTTAATGATATTTGATTTTCTTGTGGTTTGATGTTTTAGTCTTTAAAAAAGATTTTATTTAGGATATATAATTTTACACTCGCAACGTTGAGTTGTATACATCGTATCAAGGTTGATTCATATATATTGAATCAATGTTGGGTTATAAACATCGAGTCAACCTTAATCTATATACTTTGAATCAACGTTGGGTTATTTACATGGGATCAATTTTGGATTTAAATTGTAAAAACAACCAAATTTTGGTTTTATATACGCTGGCCCAAGATATGTGTGTCGTCTCTGCAGTGTTGCGGATTAATCATGAGGCCAGACTAGATAATGGTCTCCGAAGATCAGGGGCCTCCAAAATTGGTTGTTTTTTAATTTTCAAATTCTATTTTTTACTTTGATTAACATTTAGACAAGTTTTTTGTGAACTAATTAATAATCTATGATACTAAAATGATACCAAAAAACTAGTGGTTAATCAAGCTTGTTAAGATGATGAGTTAAATATAAAGGGTATTGTTACAGATACGTTACAATACGCCTAAAATCATTCGATAATGATATCTCAAACACTTACCCTGGTTGTTTCAAAGTAAAGCTCAAAAAATGTTCCTTTTTCTCTTTTTATGTTGTTAACTGTTTTTTTATAAATTTTAAAAAGTGGATAAGGGGTAAATGAAAACAAATTTATTTTATTGAACTTTAATGACTACACCACAGTTGGTAATTTTATTCTTTATTAAAAACTTTTACAAAAACACTAAAAAAAAGGTAAAAACAACATTAGGGTATATTAGATATCCTAATTTTAGGGAATATTAAAATAGAACAGAATGATCATATATGGTGCAACTTGCTTACGTTTATACCTTACGGTTATAACCGTAAGGTATATGATATAGGTAGAAATTTTATATTTTTTAGTGTATCAAAGCTCAATTGATTAACAACATTGACAATAAAAATATTCCCGGTTTATTTTTGTATGTTGTACGCACGCAAGTATATACGGAGTCCGTCGATGTTTACCTATTCGATAATTTTCTGCATAATTTTTTTTTAGCTCAACATATTTTTAGATATTTTTTGATATTTTTTATATATATAAGCCAAAATGTCTCCCTTAGATTTTATTCGAACGCCAAAGGTAGGATAAATGAATTTAAAACTTTATAAATTTTTATTTTAAAATTTTCCTAATATAGTTTGTAAGATTAAAAAAAAAACTGAAGAAAAGGTGTGTTAAACCTCATTCATTAAATTCTTTGATTCCAATAAAGTAATCAGTGATCTATGCAATTGTACTATCCTTGAAGCTCCTGTAGTTTTCAGGCTTGTTTTAAAAATAGTTGTTTGAAAATTTAAGTATTTCTAGAAATTTTGTTTAAAGCTCGTGCTTTTAAAGATTAAAATCTTTAATATATTTTTAATATAAACATTGTTTTTAATATTAAATATCACGTTAAATTTTTATACCATCTAAACCATCGTTTGAAAAAATTTGAACAATATTGTACTTAAACAGATCTGTGCTTGATTTATAAAAATTAAAAATATCAAAATATAGTGTAATAAAAAAGAAACAGACATAACTGCAGTGATTATTTAATAGTATTATGTTTTGTATATCAATAGCTATGTAGCAAATCTGTTCAACTTGTAAACATATAACAGCTAATAAGTGTAATTTTTCTGTAGAGGATAAGTTGTGGAAGAAAATTTGTCCAATAGAAAAAAACTGACCTTAAATTTGGAGTCAATGAACCAAATTTATTGTCAATTTAAAAGTATGATCAATTTTATTGAGAAAAAAAAATGTAATTGATCATCCTATGTGCTCAAAGCTCTTACATTTTTGACTTTTTAAAATAAATTAGAAAGTATCAACCAAAATTTTTAGTAGATTAAAAGTTTTGGTTGATAGAACAAGTGACGATAGTTTTCTTAAGCAGCGACTGTGGTAATAGAAATGAGAAAGAGATGCCACCTTATAACAATAGGACAAAAGCTTATTCTTAGCAGGTAGAGAAGGTCCAACAACATTTATCATACATTTACCAGCTAGAGCAGGTACAATAACATTTACAATGTGAACTTTGCTTGAAAGAGAGAGCCTCATTAGAAGAACCAGCTGAAATATAACAACATAATCTATACAAGGTTGAATAAAAAAATAATTCCCTTCAAAAAAATTTTTTGATGTCACAAATGCTTAGTTTTAGCAGCTAGAGTATATATTCAAAACTCTTGTATTTTTGATATTTTTAAAAACAGGACTGTTATCTGGACTGCATGCTGTAAAAGAGTTTAGACAGGAAAAAGTTATAGCAAATAGTTATTTATTAAGCATTTGTCAATTAACTAGATTAATTAGTTAATCTTAAATTTGAATACCTAATATTTGTCAAATCCAGAAAAAAGATTTGTCACCAAATTAAAAAAAAAAAATCTTGGTTGCAAAACAAAATTTTGCTTTTATCTTTTCCTTTCAAATCAAATAAAAATCAATATCATATATGAAAACTAGTGATTTCGACACAATTTAAAATTCAATAAAATTGTATGTAAGGTGGTTTATTTTCTTTAAATGTCTAAAAAATTGTTAAAAATGCGAGTTTTTCTACATAAGATAGTATTGTAATATTATATTATTATTAAGTTATTATTAATTAAATACAGTATGAAAATATATTTGTGATCACAGAGATATAAGCCATCACTAACATGGAAAACATGGCAACCTTAATTTGAACCTTGTTATTAGATTTTCTATTGCTTTAATAATTTTCTATTGCTTTAATAATTTTTTTTTTTTTAAATAATGTGAAAATTGTTTAGCCAGTGTCCTATAGTACACTGGCAAAACAGTTTTGTGATTTTCATTTTTGAAGTATATCTCCTAATTTTTAGAAAAAGTTAAAAAGAAAAATAATAGTCATAATAATAATAAATGATCTTATTTCTGTTATTTAGATAATCATAGTTGAATATAATTGTTTTCAATGTTATTTATAGTTGTTATTGTAGAAAAACTTCAAAGAATGTCACATAGGAACATGTTTTTACATGATGACTTAATATCTATTATATATTTAATATATACTATATATTTAATATATATTATATATTTTATATATACTATATATCTTATTTAATCTACTAAATATTTTTTAGGTGGATAATGTGAAACTTTTAGACAATGTTTTGAAGCGTAAAGGAACAGTTGGAACTTTACATTTGACAACAACTCACATGATATTTATTGATCCTAAGGGTGCAAAAGAAACTTGGGTATAAAATATTATTTTGTTTTTTTTAAAGAATTATGAAAAATAATTTTATATTTAAAAAAATGTTCACAAAAGTTTTATAAATAGGTTTTAGATTGATGTGATTGCACACATGAATCTAAAATGATAATTATTGATCCCCAATAACATTTTAAAGTTTATTTATGCCTCAATTGGTTTCAATTGGTAACAAGATTACATTCTTTAATTTTTTATTTAAATTTTAAGTAAATAAACTTGATTATATGTTTGTTTATCATTGTTGTTTTGCTAAATATCATATTTTATTTTTATTATAAAATAGCTTTGTCTCAATTGAATACTTTGTCACGAAAAAAAAAAGTCTCTCGGCAATGTTACACCTCACTTGTTTTTTTTTTTAAACTTGTAACCAATTGAGATGTAATGTAACTAAATCTAGATTTGAGGCGTAACTAAAATATGTCTCAAACATAGATTTTTTTTACCATTACCTTGTGTCTCAATTAGTCACATTTTAAAAAGTAAAAAAAAAAAAAAATAAGTGTAATGAAATGTTAAAAAAATTAATTTTTGTGACATTTTAATGTTTCTATTCTTGAATGTTTTACGTTACATTACGTCTTGACTGGTTACACTTTTAAAGGTAAAAAGGTTACACTTTTAAAGGTAATAAGGTTACAATTTTAAAGCTTTAAAAGATGTATTTACATTTTAAAAGATGTATTTAAAAAACTTTTTTAATTAAATTTTATTATTTTATTTATTTAAAAAAAGTTTTTTTTTAATATAACATATTAAATAAAAAGTGCTTGTTAAATAGTTTAGAGAGAATTGAAGAGAGTTCTGGAGAACACTTTTGTAAGACTATGACAGGAATTGTATCTGGACCACATACCATAAAAGATTTTAATTGAGAAATGGCTTAAGCAACAGAAGCTGGAGTGATTTAGATGTCTAACAATGGGTCACCATGTTTAACTGTAATGGCAGAAAGAGTAATCATTAGATTCAAGAATCAAATTAGATAAAAAAAATTTTACATTGGTTTCCTGCAATAATAAAAAGGTGTTTTCAAAAGAGTTTTTCTTTTAAAAAAGTTGAAAAAAATGCATATGATTAGATATAGCAGCTGCGTAAGAACGTAAAATAATGGAGTAGAACAAAGCTTAACTTAAAACCACGAAAAGAAAAAAACTACTATACCTGCCTGGATTTAGGAGGATTTTAGTGTCATCGTCAGTGGTGTTAGAACCAAGCCATTCAGTGTGATGAGCATATAGCGTGATGAGCATTAATGTCACCAATAACAACACTTTCATGGAAAAAATTCAATTCAAAAAATGCATATAATAATTATATAAAAGAATTTCTTTACCAATACGTGAACAGCTCTTGCCTTTAACAAAAGCATTTTATCAAAAAGATTTATTTAAAATAAAACTAAATCAAAGTTTCTCCCTCCTTAACTCTTGAGATGGGTGCGATTTTGTACTTGTATGGCCGGCACGCCAGTGAACATTAAATACAATTTTTTTGTAAACAAACTGTTTTACCAATCCTTGTTTGATATAATGTTAGGGTAATAAGACTTTGCTGAAATCTACTAGATACTTGAGAATGATGATCATCAGCTCTGCTGTCCCTTAAGCAAAGAAAGTGATGATGGAAAGTTTTTATTGGTGCAAAAACTTCCTCCGTGTCTTTGCTACTGTTACTTACAGACTCTTGAGATAAAATATTCTTTGCACATTTTTTCATAAAAGAATGAAAAGACAACATATAGCTACTTCAACATAGACATAAATATCAGTAGCATTCAAAACTTCATTAAAAATAAATGCATAGTAAATACTTCATGTTTAATTAAATTTAATAGAGACTTTTGAAGAGTATGATGAGATGTATACTTACATTTTGTGTTGTCTGCGTTATTGGTAGGCTGTCATCATGTGAGACAAGTGCTGTAGATGATGGTATGTCTGGATTTGAAGAGTTTGTCTACTTTAGCTTTTCTGTATTTTGTAATATTGATAATTGTATCCAGGGCTGTGGAGTCGGAGTTGCCGAGTTGTGACATTTTTAGCAGAGTTGGAGTCGCTAAAAAAAATCGCGACTCTGACTCCAATAGTAAAACTTCTCGGTATTGTACGTGCATGTACAAAAACATTCAATTAACCTTATATTTATACTAAACCTCAAAGAACGTTTTATAAATTTGTCAAAAAAAATTTTTAACTTATCGCATAATATTTTTTCAAAAACTTTGGTTTGGAGTCGGAGTTGGAGTTGGAGTCGGAGTTGTACTCAAAAAATTTTAACAACTGGAGTCGGAATCAGAATTGTACTCAAAAAACTATACATCAAAATGTTCTTATAAAATGAAAAAAAAAATCTTTTCATTTATTTAAAAAAGTATCTAAAAAATATATGTTCAAGAGGATATTATGCAAATACTTTACATCAAAATGTTCTTATAAAATAAAAATAAAAAATTTCTCTCTTGTAGAAGGTTGAAAATGTATATTAAAGGAGGTAAAGCTAAAAAAATGTATATTAAAGAAGGTATATTTTTTTTGTAAGACTCCACACCCCTGATTATATCAATAGATAATTATATCAGGCTTGGTCGGGAAGCAGGTGCTATCGCACTCGATAACTGACCACGGAAATAATATTTAGTTGCGAAACTGGCCAGATTTTTTAGTCGTTTTAAGAACATTTAAGTTTTTGTATGTTTCCTTGTTTGTCCGCAAAATAATAAGTTCATTTTATTGTAAATTTTAAAATATTTTGTTTTATGGACTTACATGGAAACATATAAACTTGAATGTTCTCAAATATCTTAGTACGGAAAAATAAAAAAAGAATATTCGCGAACACAAAAAACCCGCCAAAACTACAAACAACTAATTCTATTGGTACAAAAAATACTAACCGAAATTTCTAGAGTATTCAAAAAATACTAACCGAATGTCCTGATTATTCTCTTGAAATATTTTTAAAAGTTGTATTATTTGAGTTTAGTCATGTTTTTGTTGAGATTTCTAGCATAAATTATTTTAAGAATATACTATCAAACGAACTATTATTTTAGTTCTTGGAGCCACATCTACAAAGCTATAAATGTTTTAAACTAACATTTGTTTACAATAATAAATGTTTTAAATTTATATTTTTTAAGTTGTCAAGGATTTGTAAATATATTATAGATTTTATTAGTTTAATCTAATTTTTTATATATAAGAGATGTATTTTTTATGTATGTAATGTATTTTTATGTATGTAAAGTATTTTTATGTATGTAATGTATTTTTATGTATGTATTTTTTATGTATGTAATTTTATGTATGTGTATTTTATTCAAATGTAATCTTTTAATGCAATATGTGCGATTGATTTTGTAAACAAAAATACTTTCAATAAAAACTGCGTTTTTTAATGAAATTATTAATAATCATCAAAGTTAACTCAAGTAATTTTAACCACTAATCCATTTTCCTCAGTGTACCCGATAACTGATTCTTTCTCCCAAGAAAGAAAAGTTTTTAAGTTCTTAGAAATTGGTTTACTAACTTCAATTATTTTTGCTTCAGCCATTCTTACAAACTCGTTATACTTAGAGTTACTTTTTTCTGTTTTAAATACTAATTAAAATTATAAAGCCCACTTACTAAAACATCATCAGCAGTATTGTGAAGCAGTTCCGTTTCCTCCTCACAAAATAATTTAACGTTTTTTTAAATTTCTATCTAGCTAATTAAATTTCTACAGTAACTCAATGATTTAATTATTTCATTTGTTCATCTTACTAAGAAGAATTATTTTAAATATGTTAAACTTTTTAAACTACGCGAAGCATAATACAGTTATTGAAAAATTTTTTATAAATAAATCATCTGGTTGAATCTTGTTGGACTTTTCAGGGCCGGAGGCTGCATTATTTTGGCGGCCTTTTTTTTATGTGCCACAGCATAAAAATAACTAAAAAAAATATCTAATGGTCCTCTTGACTATTTCCCCTAACATTGTGAGTCCCGGGGCTATAGCCCTACTACCCCCACCCCACCTCCTCAATCCAGCACTGGAAATAAGACATAAGTATATAAATAAAAAATATATATACTCTTTGATAAATCGAAGAATATTTGTTTCTTTATAGTTGTTACTTAATATAAAAAATGTTTCGAAAATAATTGCTCTGATACAATTATTTTGCTTAAAGTTTTTTTCGCGTTAAAAGCAATTTTTCTTTTTTTAGCTGTCTCTCATTGGTCCAGTTAATCTTATTGCGCTTTTTTGTTTGTTTTTGAAATGTTCTCAAAACGACTAAAAAATCTGTCCGGTTTGCAACTAAATAATATTTCCGTGGTCAATTATCAAGTACAATCGCACCCGCTTCCCGACCAAGCCTGTTATATCAATCATATCCACATACATAGCAAAACATATCAGGAGACTTTAGGCTACTAAAGGATGTCAAATTTGACATCCTTTAGTAGCCAAAAACAGAACTTACCAAATAGGTATATAATGTGTATTAAATAAGTATTTAGAGTAGCTTATAATATTTTAAAACAAATTACTTTGGTCTTCGGTGCAAACTTTAGATATATATTTAATAACATGTTTCATGAAGCATTATATATTTAATAAGATATATATTTAATAACATGTTTCATGAACATATTTTTCTGTTTGTAATGTATGTATTATTATCTATCTTGTAACTCTTTCCTCATCCAAACATAGGCTGCATGAGAAGCACATTAATCTTATATTAAAGAAATAAGTAATAAGGCTTAATAGCAGCATACTGGAATGTTTTTCAATTCTGTTAATAAACTTTACCTCCTTTAATATACATTTTCAACCTTCTACATGAGAGAAATTTTTTATTTTTATTTTATAAGAACATTTTGATGTAAAGTATTTGCATAATATCCTCTTGAACATAGATTTTTTAGACATTTTTTTTAAATAAATGAAAAGATTTTTTTTTTCATTTTATAAGAACTTTTTGATGTATAGTATTTGCATTTAAATATCCTCTTGAACATTTTTTAGACATTTTTTTATTGTTTGATGCATTAACATTTTCCCTCTATTATATTTACTAAATATTGTTTTTTTTTTAAAGATTTTATATAACCATATTGCTACTGTTGAAAAACTACCTATAACTGCTGGTGGTTCTTCAATACGCGTGAAAACAAAAACATTCTGGAACAACACTTTCGTCATTACACGTGAGAGGGAATGCATTGACGTTTATGATACTATAAATCACCTTGCTAATCCAGGTTTCTATTCTTGTTATTTTTTATATTTATCTTAAATTTTTATACAAGTCTTCCCAGGAAGTGCATGTTGTTGCACGCCTTGTTCACCAACATTTAAAGTAATTTTTTTAGACAACTTGACCACATTTTTATGTAGTAAACGTTTTAGAATTTGCAGCAAAATAGAGCTATAAGAAACTACAAAGAATAAAACAGCAATGCTCGAAAAAAGAAAATAAATACTATATGAAATAGAAAATCTAAATAAAAGAAAATAAAAAAAAATTGAAATTAATAAAGACAAATTTTGTCCAAAAAAAATATGCCTAAATATTTTACTGTTTTGTTTCTTTTTTTAAGGGAGTTTGTTATTTTCCATTCCAAAATTGATACAAGTTGAGGAAAAAAGTATATAAAAATATGACAAAAATTAAAACATTTTTAGTACTCAATTTATTTGCAAATTATGTCAGTCAGTAAAAAATGCTGAAATATTTGTATGAAAATACAATAATATTTGTGCTAGAAACATGGACAATATTTAAATTCGTTTTTCAAATGTTTTTCCTAAACTTTACTGTTTTTTTTTTTTTTTTTTTACTTCACCTCCTCAAGGCCGAGAAGGCCACTACAGACAAGGAGGCTACTTATTTTGAGGCTATAACTCTCTCTCAACTCTATAACTCCGAAACACGAACCTTGACGAACAAGGCCGCTGCGCGGAGAAACGAGTTGAGCGCGGTACTACCAGGGACATGGTGGGGATCGTTTTAATCAATGCACAGGAAAGTGAGAAAACTAACTGCTATTTATTTGTAAAAAATATTTTTTTTAACAAGTTTTTCATAGAAAAAAATAAAAAGTCATTAATACTAATTCTCAAATATAAAATATTTGGTTGATTTCACTACCTCCATTGAAATAGTCTGCACTTTTGTTGGATTCTCCAAATTGTGCATTTAAATCCAATAGTTTATTTCCTGATGAACTTTTGTTATTGACGATGCTCCAAAAGCTTGTACTCTAGTGCATTGTTAACTGAATGAATTTTTTTTAAATAAATTTTTAGGAGCCTATTCAAAAATTTTTTTTTGAGTTTTCAAATACATTTTTTCAAACAGAGCAATTGTTATGTTTATTATTTCTAGTAATTAGTACTAATGCTAAAAATTGGACAATAAAAAGGAAACAATATCAGACAGGCATCAAGTGTGGTAAATACATTTATGAAAGAAACCATGATATTTAAAATTTATTAATCAAACAATATATAAAAAACATCAAATGCGGTAGTGGTGTAGTGGTAGAGCGCTCACCTCATAAGCAACATGTTCCGAGCTCCATCCCAAGCACATTTCTGGTAGTACTGTGCTCAACTTAATTTTCTGTGAAGCGGCCTTATTTGTCAAGGTTCATGTTTCAGAATTATAGAGTTGAGAAAGAGTTGTAACCACATCTAAAGTAGTCTCTTTAACTGTAGTGGCCTTCACGGCCTTGGGAAGGTGAATGAAAATTAAATTAAAAAAAAATACATTTTTAAAAGCGAAAAGGCGTCAAAACGAATAAACGTAAGAAAAAAAATTATTAAAATTTACTAGTAGTTATAATTAGTCATAGCAAATTAGTTTCTTACTTAGCGTACATAGCAAATTAGTTTCTTACTTAGCGTACATAGCAAATTAGTTTCTTACTTAGCGTACATAGCAAATTAGTTTCTTACTTAGCGTACATAGCAAATTAGATTCTTACTTAGCGTACATAGCAAATTAGATTCTTACTTAGCGTACATAGCAAATTAGTTTCTTACTTAGCGTACATAGCAAATTAGTTTCTTACTTAGCGTACATAGCAAATTAGTTTCTTACTTAGCATACATAGCAAATTAGTTTCTTACTTAGCGTACATAGCAAATTAGATTCTTACTTAGCGTACATAGCAAATTAGATTCTTACTTAGCGTACATAGCAAATTAGTTTCATACAGACTGATAAAAGTAGTGTATAAATTGCATATCAAAACTTTCAACTGTTGTTAAATTGTTATAAAGTATAATATGTTATTTAGTTTATTTAATTCAAATTTGATATGTCATTACAATTTAGTTTCCTTTTTTTAGTATTGGTTTTTTTTTTGAAGTAGATAAGGTTATTGAAACGCTTTAGAAGTTAAAAGATGCAAACTGTCGTGGTCAGTGTGTCTAAAAAAATTAAAGGCATGCAATTGCATGCACTTCCTGGGAAGTTTTGTTCATATGTTGTGTGGTTCAAAAGATTTCTATAATTATTTTTGTAGTAAATTATGAAGACTTGTACGCATTTCATTACAATCCTAAGGAGGAAACATTATCTCAATCTGCAGGATGGAATCTGTATAATGTGGATATAGAATACAATAGAATGGAAACTCCACCTGAATTATGGGTTCCTTCAACTCTGAATATTGAGTATAAGGTATTAAATCTGTGAGAAAAACTTATAATAAAAAGTGCTCAGCATTTTGAAAAAACTAAACAGATTCAGAATAAATTAATAGAAATAACAAAACAGAAAAAAATAAGTTAATAGAAGAAGCAAATTACTAACAGCAATTTGCTTTTTCTTATTTTCTTGCTCCTTTCTTTAAGAACATTGAGCACTGTATTATACACTAATATCACTTATGTGTATTATATTATAATATAATATAACTGTATTATACACTAATATAACTAATATATATATATATATATATATATATATATATATATATATATATATATATATATATATATATATATATATACATATATATATATATATATATATATATATATATATATATATATTGGGTTGTAATATAAGTTCGTAGAGTTTTGCGTTAGAGTTATTTTACAATCTTTAAAGATTTGTTTGAACAAAAAACAATAATTATAAGAATAAATTAATCAATGATATATTCTTCGTTACTGTTTACGACCTCCTCCATTCTCTCCACTAATTTGTTGATGCCGTTTTGCCAAAAATCGGTCGGTATGGTGTCGAAGAAGTTGTTGAGCCAGTTTTTAAGATCCTCTTCGCCATCAAAGGTAACACCCCTCATTTGGTTTGATAGAAAGCGGAAAAGGTGATAGTCGGTAGGTGCAAGATCCGGAGAGTACGGTGGATGCTGAAGAACCTCCCATTCAAGCTCTTGGAGTACTGTTTTGACAACTTGGGCAATATGGGACCTGGCATTGTCGTGGAGCAAGATGACTTGACCTTGTCTATCGGGTTTTTTCAGTCCAATAGCCTCATTTACACCGTTCAGCTGGGCAATCTAGACCTTGTTGACAGTGGCGTTTTGTTCAAGCATTTCCCAGTGCACCATGCACGCAGATCATGGCCTTTTTTGGGTGAAGATTCTGCTTGACTCTCGGCTTCGGCGTCTCTCCTGGGGCCACCCACTCCTTTCTTTGCTTCACATTGATGTACAGACACCATTTCTCATCTCCCGTTATGATTCCATACAAAAAGCGCTGTTTGTGTCCATGTGTTGCTCAGTGGCAGGCGAGATGTTGAGCAGCAATTTAAAGGCGTTTTTCTTTGTTTTCTTCTTTGAGCTCGTGAGGTACCCATGCTTTGAGTTTTTGAGTAATACCAATTGATTGAAGGTGGCGAGAGATTGTCATTGCACTGATGTTCATTTTTCAGCCAATTCACGAGTTGTTTGGCGACCATCTTCCTTCAATAGTGCCTTCAGATGCTCTTTGTCGAAGTCGCCATTTTTAAACTTTGCGAACCATTTTTGTGCAGTAGACACACCTAAGACACCTTCCCCGTACACACTGCATATAACCCGAGCAGCTTCGGCTGCTTTTTGACCTCGATGAAAAGCATTGAAAAGCAGATGTCGAAAATGCTGATTTTTTCCTCCTAGCTATTCCATTTCTGAGCTAGAAAAAAGACGAACAATTAAATTATCCAAAAAAACAAATAAAACTATTTTGTAGACGAGAAAGAGCTCTTTCGAATAAATGTATACACTTTGCTAAAAAACAAAACAAATCGTTGTAAAATAACTCTAACGCAAAACTCTACGAACTTATGTTACAACCCAATATATATATATATATATATATATATATATATATATATATATATATATATATATATATATATATATATATATATATATATATATATATATATATATATATATATATATATATATATGTATGTATATATATATATATATATATATATATATATATATATATATATATATATATATATATATATATATATATATATATATATATATATATATATATATATATATATATATATATATATATATATATATATATATATATATATGAAGAGTCCAGGGGAAAAAACAGCATCGTCACATTTAAAAAGTTTTAAGAATGTATATAATGATCATTTATAAAAGTCTTTGTATAAAGATAGGTAATAAATATTTTAAATAAAAGTTACAAAAATTTTATTAAAAATGTTAACTTGAGAAAAATTGATCAAGAAATTTTTTTTTTTGCTAATTTTTAGACTTTTTTGTTTCATATAAAGACTTTTATAAATGATCAATATATACTTTCTCAAAACGTTTTAAATGTGACTTTGCTGTTTTTTCCCCTGGACTCTTCATATATATATATATATATATATATATATATATATATATATATATATATATATATATATATATATATATATATATATATATATATATATATATATATATATATATATATATATATATATATATATATATATATATATATATATATATATATATATATATATATATATATATATATGAATTGTACAATTTTATCTGTTGTTAAATACTAAACAAAAGCTTGTTAAAAATGCAAGTAAAAGAACATTTAATTTATGCATTGTAAAAGAATTGGAGCTTCCAATATTTTGTGGCAAGTAGAGGTCACTGACACCACTAAGAATTCAAAGGTATTTTTAATAAAAGGTTGTTGACAGTTGATTTGCAGTGTTCAGAGCAAATGGAAATCTGTTTGGGATTCTGCTTGAATTGAATTGTTGAGTACGAGAGAAGGTATAACTTGAATTGAAGTCTTAATCTTAAAGATTAAGACTTCAATTGTGGCGGGATAGCTCAGATGGTTAGAGCGTCAAAGGAAAAGTTGAAATCCGGACTGTTGAATGATACGAGTTCAAATCCCGCCACCGCCAACTCAGCGCTTGAGTAGTACTTCGGTACGCAAAAATGTTGGTCAATAACGGATGCTACTTTGGATTAGTCTTGTGACTATTTGTGGCTGTTCCTATGCTAAGCCAACAATATCTTCGGATATAAGAACATTGTATAGAAAAATATAGCATGAAAACTCAAATAAATAAATTTAAAAAAAAAAAAAAAAAAAAGATTAGTTTAAAGATTTTCTAAAGCTATTAAGTTTCATTCCATTAACCACAGACTATAGTACAATAGATTGATGTATATCTTATTATCTATAATGAAAATGGTATTAATGTGTTCAAAAACTTTTTTAATGCAAATGTAATCGCAATCGGATGAAAGTCATAAGGTGAACATGGGTTAAATATTTTAGGAATTGGTGTGATGTTTGCTGATTTCCATTGGTCAGATAGGTATCTATTTTCTATGAGGCGGTTAAGTTGGATACAGAGTGGGCAGTTACCAAACAAACAGATTTGAGTAAAGATCATCTGGTCCTGATAATCTTAGATTGCTGAGTTGTTGAGAACTCATGTCGAGTTAACGTTAAGATAATGTTGAGTTTCATCATCTTTGCTGAGTTGTTGAGAATGTTGTTATGGGAGAAAATGGGGTAATGGGTAATTTTGCTTATCAGTTGATGAAGAACAATAGGTTAGGTTTTCTTACTGATTCAAACACCTTGAAAAAGATTGTTTAATTGGTTTGCTAATGTCTCAGAGATAGGGGTGGTGATTTGTCCTTCATCTGCTAACCTCATTTCATGCCAAAAATACGTTTTTCGAGAAGAGAACTTCTTGTTGTTGATTCCTTTTTTTTTGGTATACAGTTTACTGACTCAGTTGGCAAGTACTACATATTTATATTTTTATTAATTATTTTTCAAGCTTTGTGAAACATATCCCAGTATTGTTTATTTGCCGACATCAGCCACTGTGGAGGTTATAAAAGCTTGTGCATTATTTAGAAGCAAAAACCGTCTACCTGTTTTATCTTATTATAACAAATCAACTAAAGTAAGAAATATATATTTTTTAAATCTTATAGTATTTTTGAAGTCTGAACTTATTTGATAAATAATTTTTAGTATTAGATTGTTTGCATAATTTATTACTCAACTTATTTTTGAATAAAAGTGTCACATTAATAAAAGTGTTTTGTGTATATTTAACTATACACATTAGAGTGTCCCAAAAAAAAAAAAAAGCTCTCTAATGATTCCCATTATATGTGACCTAAATAAGTTCTAAAAAAAATTTGACGGTTTCATTTTGACAGGAAGTGCTAGATGCAAAATCTGAGTTTTGAGTTGCGGAAAAAACACAGAGTTGTGGAGTTAAGTACCACGTATTGCTTCCCATGCTGAGTAGCAAAGCATTTCCAATCTTCTTACTGACTTTTCTCAATGCATAGCCTGTCTGAATAGCATTCAAATTATTGTAGGGAGCCTAAAAAAATTTTCAACTTACATCTTTCAACTGCAGCACTTTATTTTCTGTCAAGATATTACTGGTATCTTTGGTCATATATAGAGTCAGGATGTAGATCTCATCTACTAAAAACTTTGCCTCATGGCAGGCGCCATGTTGATGAAACTTAAAATCTTGTACTTCCGCTCCAAGGAAAAAGGAGGCAAGCTTACAAACTATACCAAAATCATTCCTTGAAAACACCATATCACCATATGCTTCGTGATAGCGGTGTATCATTAATTTCTATACCTCCAGCTTTAAATACTTCACTTAAAATTGCCAGATGAGGTTGTACACCAGTATTAAACCTTGTTGCTGGAATAGCAGTACATTCAATAAGCTTTTTAACATTCACTGCTAGATTTATCCTATCTCCAGAATTGTATCTAGGTATCATTTTATAATATTTTTCTACCTATTTATAATGTTATTAAAATTTATAACCGTTTACACAAGAATTCCTTCGTGCACAAATTAGAATTCCTTTGTGCACAAATAATTCCATTTAGATATTTTTTTCCTTCAAAAAAAATTTCTAAATAAAATTATTTGTGAACCAATCCATTGGGAATTACACCAACTAATAATATTGTCCAGAAGGAGTTATATCAATTGCTAACAATGTTCATAGGGAATGATAATTAATGATCTTTAATATTGTCCTATGGGAATTATTTGTGTACCAATTATTACATCATATTAAAACATATTGAAATACTAGATAGCGCTGTTTTTATGTAAATACAAATATCTGTATAAACCGTAAAACTCAGAATTTACATCTATCACTTCTAGTCATTAAAAAATATAAAAAAAGATTTTAGTAGTTATTTAGGACCTATAGGATGGGAATCAGTTGAGAACACATTGAAATTTTAAAAAAAGTATTTTTTTGGGACACCCTAATACACATGTATTAACTCCAGTTTAAATATCCATAGACATCAATTTGTCGATGTGCTCAACCATTGGCTGGTTTGAGTTCACGATGTGCTGAAGATGAGCAAATGTTACAGGATATAATAAAATCGACTCCAGATGCTAATCGAATTTATATAATAGATACAAGACCTAAAGTGAGCACTTTTTTGTTTACAGTCATGTAATGTGTTTTCAGTTCTAGTATTTTAATATTTTTCTCGATAGATCAATGCTATGGCGAACCGTGCTGCTGGTAAAGGTTATGAAAATGTGGCTCATTATGATAATATTGATTTTCATTTTATTGGCATAGAAAACATACACGTTATGCGACAGAGCTTACAAAAACTAATAGAAGGTGTCCTTAAGAGATTTATGAATTTTTCTGGTTATCTTTGGATTTTTTATTACTTGATACAGCTTATATTTCTTTACTATAGTATTTGACTCTGAAAAGCAGTTAACAATGTCATCGTATTTAAAAGGAATTGAAGACTCAGGTTGGCTCAAACACATTAAAAGTGTAATGGATACATCATTATTCATTGCAAAGGTTTTTTATTTTTAAATTTTTTTATTTTTCAAAGGAAGTATTTTTCTCTAAATAGTTTTGGCTGATCATTAATGAAATTGTGTAATAATTCACACACTTTTGAAGAATTCTATTTTCTAAATTAATCTAATTAGGCAATCAGCATAGAGAAGCGAACTGTTGTGATTCATTGCTCTGATGGGTGGGACAGAACAGCTCAGGCGTGTTCACTTGCAGAAATACTTCTTGACCCATACTATAGGACAATACATGGTTTTCAAGTAAATTATAATTAAATCTTATCTTTAAGTAAAATCTGTTACAACTTTTTTTTTTAATCTAATTTACTTTCTATTAGATTTTAATAGAAAAAGAATGGTTGTCATTTGGTCATAAATTTACTCACAGGTAATTTATGCATTACAAGGTAATTTTTGTGTTACATGCGTTACACAGTAATCTTTGATTAGACGTTAAATCTGATTAGTTAGGCGTTAAATCTGATTGGTTAGACGTTAAATCAAATTTGAGATTTATATAACTCGGCTTTTAAATGGTTTATAAAATATTTATATGAAATATGAATATGTGTAAGTAAAGTAAGATGTGTAAATCTTTAGCACATTAATGTTTTATGTTATATTTAGATGTGGTTTGTTAATGCATGATGCTAAAGAGGTCTCTCCTATCTTTACACAGTTTCTGGAGTCAGTTTGGCAATTAATGAATCAATTTCCAACAGCTTTTCAATTTAATGAGAGATTTCTTTTAGAAATTCATGACCATCTCTATTCGTGTCAGGTTTATAATTTTTAGATATCTTTTACTATCTTTTTCCTTTGAAGACTTAACCCTTTACTTAACCAGCTTTGACCCTTTTTAAAAAATTTTCTTTTCCCTGTTGAAAAAGGAAGTTTTATTTTATCAATTGAAAATTCAATATTTGCTTGTCCTAAGAAAATAATATAACAAACATGAAAAAGCTCTTTTTAAAGCATTTTTGCCAATAGTTGTAGCCGCACCTTTTTTTTAAACTGCTTATCAAAGATTCTATTAAGAATCTTCTACTAGAGGTAGAAGATTCTTAATAGAATTAAGAATCTACTACCTCTAGTACCTTAAGAATCTACTCGAGGTACTCGAGGTAGTAGAGGTACTCGAGGTAGTAGAGGTACTCGAGGTAGTCGAGGTAGTAGAGGTACTCGAGGTAGTCGAGGTAGTCGAGGTACTCGAGGTACTCGAGGTTTTTAGTTAAATCTTTCAATTATTATAATCTTTTTTTTTTTTTAAGTAAATTTCAAATAAATTAACAGTTTTTTATTTTTATTTTTTTAATTCTTTTTAATGGTATATTTTTTTAATTTCAATAGTTTGGTACTTTCCTTGGTAACTGCGAGAGAGAAAGAGTTTTGTTAAAGTAATGTAAACTTTAATTGGCTTCGAAATATTACATTTAAAAATAACCTGAAATTGATAAGAAAATTTTTTTTTCAAGGCTTTCATCAAAAACTTATTCTCTTTGGGGTTACATGTGGCAAAATTTACCAGATTACATCAATCCGTTTTATAAAGACAGCACTCATTCTGTTTTGTGGCCTTCTACTGCACCTCAAGAATTTAAGTAAATAGTTTATGATTTTTAAAGTCAACACTTAATGATTTTTAAGTAAACAGTTTATGATTTTTAAAGTCAACAGTTTGATGATAAGTAATAAACATAAGGAATAATAATTATTATAGCAACAACAGTAATATTTTGTTAGGTTCTGGCGCAGTTTGTACAACAGATACAAGAATGATGTGCACCCAAGGGAATCAATTGCAGATTATGTTTGCTCACTTAATGATCATAATGACTCTTTAAAAGATCACATTCGATATATTCAAAAGGTATGAACTATAAACGGAGTTAAAATAAAAGTGTGTTTGCAATATTTTATAAGTTATGCTTATGGTTTAGTTATATATATGTATTTTTCTTTATCATTGTATTCATCAATGTTCATTTTATAATCAAAATTCTTGTTCTTCACCTCCTTTTTATTTATCTTTTTATGTTTTTACAATTTGTTTATTTTACATCAACTCTGATTATTTTTATATTGAATAGAAACAATAATTTTTTTTTTTATTAAATAGAAACAATAAAATATTAATTTATATTGAATAGAAACAATAAAATATATTTTTATATTGAATAGAAACAATAAAATATATTTTTATATTGAATAGAAACAATAAAATATATTTTTATTTTAAATACAAATAATTAAATTTTTTTATAGAGAATAGAAGCGATAAAGTCAAACATCAATAAAAAGGTTCTTAATGCGGTTAACGAGGAAACGAACGCAGTTCAAAATCTCTCCAAAGAAAGCCAGAAACTCTCTTTAAATAATGGGATCCAAAACGGGGAGTTACCGAATGCTGCATCAAGTAATCACTCTTTTGATATGGCTGATGGTGAAATAGACTCGAAAAAGTCGTTTGAAGACTGTTTTTTACGTAAGGCAGATTCAGTTCCTAATTTGGCAACTGATATAGCATCATTTGCATTAGATTGGGATTCATTTAGAGATGTTACTCAGTGTTCGTGTGGAAAACCTATTGGTTATCTTAGTAGGAAGGTAATTTTTTTATTGCAATAACATTACTTTAGCGTTTAAAAATAATTTTTTTCTGTCAATTACACATTCTATTTCTCATTTAGTACCATTGCTGGAACTGTGGGCATGTGTTTTGTTCTCGTTGTGTTGACCACTCCTCTGCAATACCTGGACATTATTCGGAGAATAAAGTTCCAGTCTGCAAACCTTGTTATAAGATTCTAAGAAGATAACTATTTTTTAAATTCTTTAATTTATTATTTTTTACGTAATGTTTTGTAAATGAATTTCATTTATCATATCGGACAAATTGTTTTGTGAAATTAAATAACTCCTGTGATATAATTTATCTTTTTTGATTGAGACATAATTTTTTAAACTTATTTATATAAATTTTTGTTAAATAGTATTAAAAATTTTTTTTTTTCAATTCGAATGGTTGGGCTATGCTCTTCATGCAACCATTTAAAATTTTTTAGTTTTCCGTATTAGGAGTCTGGAAACTGCACTTTCGCTACACGGTGAAAACGTTTTGACGAAATGAAATCTGCAGTAAAATGATCACAAAAACATATTATATATAACTTTTTTTATTTCACAACATATCACAAAAAGAGATATGTTGTGAAATAAAAAAAGTGAAACGACAAAAAACTAAAATCACATAATGTTAAGTAAAACGTCTATTTACAAGTTTTATTTAACTTTTTAAAACTGTTTTAAACCCAATGCCTTTTTGTTATTAAACTCAAATTTAGTGATCAATTTTTTTTTTTTTTTACATTTCTATTTTAATTTTAAAGTCACAATATGCAAACTAAATAGGTCTTAACCGATTCTAATGGAACTTTTTGGGTAAGCAACCGACTACTATCATTTTCTGCTTTGCTTGGGATTTGATAGCATAGAAATTTGTAATTTATACATAATCATAAATATTTTTAAAATATATAAACTAATTTACCATAATCAAAAACTCCAATATAAATCGTATGTTGCAGAGATTTTAGTACAAAATTTATTAAGTACAAAAATTTGCTGATGCCATGATTCAAACTCTTGGCGGATGGCGAATGCAATTTTTGAGTTCTACCTCTCAATCACGAGCACATAGGGGAAAACGAGGCAACATGGCTAATGGGGCAAGATAGCTTTTCATATAACAACTCAACAAAAAAACTTAAAAATGGGTAAAAACGAAATATATATAGTAAAATAAACAATTAAAACAAGTAAAAGGAAAATAAAAAATATTACATCATTGACAACCAATAGAACTATGGTTCGCAAAAAAGTTCGGTTCGCATTTTACCGGCTATCTCCTTCCTTACTAATGACGCTTATTGGGCTGGAACCAGCGTCGAACCTCTGGGTTCTGAGCCAGAATTTGCCACGACTGCTCAATTTTTTGGTTCAGTTTTACTTATTAGGTGGAAAAAATAAATTCAAGTGAATAAAAACATGTTTTTAAGAAATTTATGGCTTTAAACATTTTGTAAAAGTTCTAGCTCTTTTGATCTATGAAATTAAGAAAACAAACCGGCTAAAAAAAACTAAGAAAACCGCTAAAAAATTAAGAAAACAAACCGGCTAAAAAAAATCCTAAACAAGTTCAGAAAGAAAATTTATAAAACTTTTACATTCTGTATAAATAAATAAAAAAAACTCAAAAAAATTTCTTTTAAAACAAACGAAAAATTGGTTGTAAACAAAAATAAACTTTCATTTATATCATTTCATTTAGAACTTAAGTTATAGATTGTCAAAGCTAAGGTTTTTAAAAACATTTTTGATTTAAGTTTTACTAATTCGTCGTAACTACGTTGAGTTAGGACTTAGACGAACACATTTTAACTAATCCACTATGGTTATTACTAAATATCTTGTAAATTGTATTTATAGATTTTTTTTTCCGTATAAGTTGAGATTATTTAAAACTAAGTTGTTTGGTTTATTGCGTAACTAAAAATTAAACATTCTTTGGTCATAAGAGTATGTATACAAAAATTAATAAAATATCAGAAAGTGATTCAAAAATTGGTTGCAACAATCGATGCTAACAGATTAACAGACAGTTTATAAGTTAAGAATAAAAGTATTGGGAAAAATACTGCAGCCGCCCTTTTTATGTTTACGTGTTGACAATCACGTATACTCAATACATACTCAATAATAGCATAGTAAATGGAATAGCCAAGAGACAATTTTACTATCCATTTATAAGTTAATTTGGCCTTATGTTTTTTATACATAAAATTATTTAACATTTGTAGAATTCAAAAAGTTTTTGTGAAATGTCTAATTAACTTGACTGGAGTTTATAAATATAAACTGGAGTTTATAAATACAAACTCCAGTAAATTTAATTAGGCAAAATACTTTTAGGACCGCCCGAGGAGGGGGTGTTTAAACCCTGTCAAAAGGGGAAGAGGTGTCTATTGGAAATTATTCAGTTGGCAAATTTGGATAATTTAGTCGGCAAAATTGAATCTGTAGTTGGCAGTCAACAAATATTAGCCAACGAGGACTTTTTTTTTTTTTTTTACAGATCTTAGTGGGCAAAAAAAATTTTCACACCCGCCTTTTTTAGAATCTTTTCGGGATGGCCCTGAATACGTCTACCATTAAAAAAATATAAATCGTAGTAAATGATCGGTATTTTAATAATTGAAAACGCGTGCAGCATATTGTTTGTGCGTGTTTTAAGTCACGTAAATGGGTGTGTTGCAATCAACTTTTTATTATTATGCTTGCTTTTCTTTATTATGCTATGCTTTTCGATAAATTAAAACTATTTATTTTTCATTTATTTGTGTTTAGTTTAATGGTTTTTTCTACATTTTGATTTTGAAGATTTTTCAATATTTAATAAGTTGAACTCCAAATAGTTCTTAAAGATTTCGTATTACCATCGTTTATTATTTTAAAATATTAACCGAAATATTTTCAAAAGATTAACTACTATGTTTATTTTTGCATTAATTTTTCTTTTCATATTAAAAATTGCTGTAGATAAATTTAAAATAAATAATTTATAATAAATACTACGACAGAATATTTAATTTTTTGATTGGTTCAAAAATTTATATTTGTTTAATTTGACATCAAACTGTTATTTGACAAATTAATAATTTACTTTATTAATAATAACTTTATTTTTTAAATAAGATAAAATTTTAAAAATTAAATGTCGGTCCCTACATAATTCAGAGTTCAAAATACACAATTTACAGTTTGACAATACACGGATTGTAATACAAAGATAAAAAATTTATTTTTCTAAATTTTAGACTAAGTTTATATAACAAAAAGAACCGCACGTATATACGTAGGTTTGTTATAACAAACATATATATATATATATATATATATATATATATATATATATATATATATATATATATATATATATATATATATATATATATATATATATATATATATATATATATATATATATATTAAAAAAATAATTCTAATTCCCGACATTCATTTCTTCGACACCATTTATCTTTGATGAGTTGTCATCAGTCTTAAGGTCTTGCAAACCAAAATGAAGTTCAATTTCAATTTTTTGTCTATTTCCTTTGTTTACATTGAAAGAAGTTTTATCACCATTTTCATGGAACATATTTTCATGTTGAGCGTTATCGTGTGGCACGTGTTCGTGTGATTTAGCATTTGCTTGCGGACCTTTCACGTTGACAAATAAATGCACAATTTCGTCATTCTCTTGTTCTAAAGTACTTTTTGAATTAAGCTCGTGGTGTTTAATACCAACCTCTCGATCATGGCTACTCAAAATCTTTTCAGTATTTTGGAAGATAGGCGAGGCTGGGGATAAATTATCATTAGTTTGGTATACGGGAGATGATGTAGATAATTTATCAGGAAGAACATCTATAGTTGGTTGATGTTGAGAAATAACCACAGTAGGCTGTTTGTGTTTTACCGAAACCTTAAACTTGGATGGACTTTTAGGTTTATCTTTTAAAACGATTGAATGAATGTGTCCTATTGGTTCGTTTTTTACCTTGAATTCAGAATGCTTCTGTAAATGAATACTTATTTCTTCTTCATTTACATGTTCATCAAAATCTACGAAGTCAAATGTAGTTTCTGGTTCATTTTCCTGTAATAACAAAACAATGAATAATAAACTTGGTAGAGACAAAAAATTATAACAATCAAAGAGAGTGGTTCCTAAACTGTGGACCTCGAACTAATTGCGGCTGTCAAGGACTCAAAAAATAGCTTTTAACTTTCAAAGAACTTACTAAACATGAAAAAAAAAAAATTAATTAATTTTTTAACTTATGCATATTCAACAAAAATGTTGAATGTCTCTTTATGTATGCAAAATAAACGTGATTCTTAAAAAAGGTTTGAACATTTATAAAAGTAAAATAATAAGAGATATAAAAATAGAAATTTGATAAAAATGCTTACTTGTTCAGCTATTTCGGTAGAACCAATAATTTCAATATTCTCTACGACTGAACGTTTTTTGGTTCTTATGAATCCTATAGATTTATTTTTTTCAACTTCATGACTATTAGGTTTGACGTCATTAAATAAAGAATCTATACCAACACTGCTAATTTTATCTTTTTTATTTTCAAAGAGTTCTTTTGTCTGTAAACCTATTTCATCGCCTTGATTATGGTTTGAAGCGTGCGGAATGTTTGTTTCTCTTGAATAATTTAAATTCGCGTCAGTTAAAAGCACGACATCAGAATTTGAAACATCTGAACTTTCTAACGGGGGAGAAAATTCTAACTCGCTTAATACTTCCTCAAAAAAATCTTCTTTAGATCTATCTTTGGCTTTTCCATCGTTAATATTTTTAAGATGTAAAGATTCGCACTTCTTTTTTTTAGAAAGTAAACTTTCAATCTCTTCGTTGGATAACTTTTCTATTTGATTTGACTCATCATTCAAATCAGACCAAACAGGTTGAGAAACAGCGTTACAATCAGTTGTTAAAACATCTTCATAAGAAAACTCGTCACTTTTTGTTGGTGTCTTTTCATTAACTAACATGTAAAAAAAAATACAAAGTAATAATAATAGCCGATAAACACCACCATGATAAAAATAAAATTAAAAAAATTATTAACATTAGAAAGATAAAAAAATAAGTTGAATACTTTCTTGATTGTCTTTTTTTAACTCGTACAAATTTCGAATATGATCATATAATGTAAACCACCAAGCAAGTAACAAAAGCATATTTTTTTTGTTATCCTTTAGTTACATCTGAAAGCAAAATCGCTTAAAAACTCAGTAAAACTTTCTTAAATCTCATCACTTAACGCCATAGAAACCTAAGTATCTTTTATATCGTTTCAATAGAGTTAAAATACGCGTATCTAAAACTTAATACTACATCGTTTATGAAACAATTTCAATTGTAATTTTTCTTATAAAATAGAAAATTTAAACGTATTTATTATTAAACAATAAAAAACGTTTACAACTTGCATATAATGAACATTAAAACTTATAAGAAAAAAAAAACAAAAATAAAAACAAATGTTAAAAACATCTTTACAAAAAATATATTACAAAGTTTTAATGTTGCTCAAACAAAACATAATAATGACCAAGTAACAAAAACTGACGAAAAAAATAATCTAATTAAAACATTTTGTTATCTGAATATTACAACGTAAATTAATAAAGTACACGATAACAAAAATCATATTTAAAATAGATTTAAATAAAATATAAATACGAAATCGATAAAATTCTAACAGAATTATTACGTAAATTAAACACTTCGTATTCACCAAAATGTCGTCATTTAGATTTTATTGAAACTTTATTAACCATACTTATTTTAGGGTATTATTGAGCTTTCGTTGGCTCGCCTTTATCCTGTTCCATGCTTCGATCTTTTAATTGCTGACTCCACATATCCGCATACAGTCCATTTTTTTCAAGTAGTTCATGGTGCCTAAAAAGTAAATTTTCAAGTAAATTATTTGCGGTTGAAAATAAACCTACATAAATAAATATGATATAATCATATTTATTGTTTTACCTTCCTCTTTCAACAATTAAACCATCTTTGAGAACCAGTATTTGATCAGCTCCAATAATGGTCGATAAACTAAATCAAAAATAAATGTAAATTTGGTTTAGGATTTCTCTTTTTTACATGAAATGCATATAAAACGTACCGATGTGCAACAACTATGGTGGTCTTGTTAGCACATACTCTGTTAAGAGATGCTTGAATATTTCGCTCAGTCTGTGTATCTAGCGCCGAAGTAGCCTATAAAAATAAAAAGTTTTAATTTTGTAAACTCGTCAAGCTTATGGAATTTGACAATAAATTAGTTAAAAAGTAACCTCATCAAGAAGAACAATTTCAGGAGATTTCAATAACGTCCGGGCTATAGCTACACGTTGTTTTTCTCCACCACTAAGCTTCAATCCACGTTCACCAACCATTGTTTCATACTCTTAACATGATTAAATAAAAATTTAATAACATGCAATGGTTGACATATGGAAACTTAAAAAAGCTTTTTAACATTTTGTTTTATTGATCTATTTATGAGATGTTACGTCGTTTGCGTTATGCTAACTACTTTGTAGTTTTAAGTGCTAACCAAGTTCTTTATGCCAACTAATTTCTAGTTTTAAGTGCCAAACAAGTTCTTTAAATAACACTTGTAACAACCATCAAATAATAAATCTTTTAAAATTTAACAAATTTAAATGAAAAACGTTTGAAGAGAAAAATACCAAACTAAATTCTTTAATTTAATTTAAAACATAAAGTATAAAAAAATAAAATTTAATATGCTTTCACAGCGTGCACAAGTTTGATTCAGGAGTCTATTACTATTTGATTTTGAAAAACTTTAAAAAAAATAGAAGAAAAACTTTATATCATTTAACTTAAGTTACATAAAAATTGCAAAAATTCGTATGTATTAAAAAAAAAAGTGAAAAATTTTACCAACAATTTAAGATGCAAACTCCATTTCCAGAGTAAAATCAGTTTTTGACTTAAATTCATTGCAAGAATGAAATTGTACAATGATGATTTAGTTTACAATATGAAACTAGAAAGATTCTTAACTTCCTAAACCATTACTATAACTTAAACTTTATTTTAAAAATGTTACCTTTATTTTTTCTCGTGTGTCTGTATTAACAAGAGTTATGAAATTTAACTTTTATATTGTTTGCAGTGAAACACGCTACACACACACACACACACACACACACACACACACACACATACACACACACACACACATATATTATCTTTAACACATATATTTTCTTTATTTAACACATATATTATCTTTACTTGTGTCACATGTGTCTGCATCAATAAAAGATATAAAATTTTACAACTTTTATGTTGTTAGATTTCAAAATGATCAAACTTGATCTTGAAGAGATGGTCACATTATCTCTTCTGAATAGATAATCACTTCTGTTAAACTATTCCATTTTTTAACTATTCTGTTTGTAAAGAAGTTAAATGTTATGGTAGACCGTGCTTTGATTTTGGACATAATTTTGGAAACCAATTGAAAAGCTCTTTAAAAGCTCATTCTTTAATAAATGTAAACAGTTTTGTAACAATATTGCAGTTTTATTTTTACAATGATTTTTTTTATATACTTTATAACAAGGGTATCATAAATCCCTCGAAATATAGTAAAATTTATAAAAAGAAAAAATATTTCAAAAAGTATGCAAAAATACAAACTGTCAGGAAAGCCAGTTATTTTGTTGTGAATATCAGCAGATGTTGCGGCCTCAATCACTTCATTTAAGCTTGAATTAACTCTTCCATATGAAATATTATACTTTATAGTGTCATTAAACAGAACTGTATCTTGAGGTACCACACCAATTGATTGTCGTAAAGATTTCTGAGTTACCTAAACCACAGAATTTTAATAGAACTATAAACAATACAACATAACCATCATAAATACAATAAACGTTTTCCTTTATAAAACCATACCTCTCTGATATCTTGACCATCTATACATATGCAACCTCCCAAAACATCATAAAATCGAAATAATAACCTTATAATTGTTGACTTTCCACTACCAGATGGACCAACCTATATATATATATATATATATATATATATATATATATATATATATATATATATATATATATATATATATATATATATATATATATATATATATATATATATATATATATATATTTATATATATATATATATATATATACATACACGCTATGATATATAAAATATCATGGCGTTCTCTACTGTAGATCTGACTGCGCAACAGTGTCTTTTTGTGGGGGCTTATTTTTTTACGGCAAAATGTAACTTTAATAAAATTTAATTTTAAATAACTAACAAGTATTTTTCACTTTAATTTTTTTTAGCAGATAAAAAGAAAAGAGTAATCTTAAGATTATTTTTTAACATACAAATAAAAAGGATAAAAATATTATCAAATTCAAAGTTTTACAGATTTACATAAATATATAGTTTAATATATACTTCCTTTACCATCTAAAATACAAAATTAATTTACAGGTCAGGTCAGGTTTATCCAGCTACTGGTAACATGTAACCCAGTACAATCTGCTTCATGTCTTGCTGCCTTGTAGGATATGCCTTTTTAGGCAAAGGCTAGGAGATGCAAACTCCGACATAAAACACCCCCTGCCTTGGGGCTCTTGGTTGAGTAAAGGCTAGAGATGGTGTCTCGATAAAAACACTCATCTTGGACAGATGTTAAATGCATCCGGCTGCTGTCTTGTAGAAAGCCTCCTAGGCAAAGACTTAAGGGGTAAACAGATTCTATCTGTTGACCAGCCTCGCACCTCTTCTCCATCTATTAGGCTGGCGCAGATGTATTTTTAATACATTGTTTCCAGTTTAGGATGTTGAACGCTGGATCTTCTAACTCGATGCATGAGTTTGGGTTGTGTCTCTGTTTTTATGACTAGGCAACTCATTTTATTATCTCCAAATGAGGGTACAGCTCTAAAACTCAGGTTTCCCGAACTCTGTGGTAGCTCTCAGAGAGGCTGATTCCATCAACAGCTGAAAAATATCAGAGTACTAACAGTGCCATGTTGCGCATGGATGGTATCCCTGTTTGTACTTTTGGTGTGCATTGCCAAGGCCACATTGGAGCCCTTTGTTACGGCTTAGGGTTTATTAGTGGAAATGAGGCAATTGCTTGGGCTATAAAACAGTGTACTGAGTACTATTTATGATTCGAGTCAAGTTCTTTAACAAATTTAAAAATGAATAAAGTAACAAAAACTATAAAACACAAAAAACCACAGTCATCACCAAGTTCGCTAAACCTATCATTCACCAATATTCGTGGTCTTCGAAGTAACTTTTCTTCTGTTGAGTCTTATCTCTTGCAAAGTTCACCAGACCTACTTGCTCTTGGTGAGACTAATTTGAGTTCAGCTGTCTCATCTTGTGATCTTAGTGTTGATGGTTATCTTCCTTTAATTCGTAAAGACTCCAATAGTCACATGCTTGGCCTAGGCATTTACATTCGTAAGAATTCACCCATTTGTTGGGAAACTAGGTTTGGATCCACAGACTACTCTTTTATGTGCTTTCATTTAGCACCAATTCACTCTATCACCTTTCTCTTTGTTCTATATCGCTCTCCTTCATCTCAAGACTGCACTCTTCTTGATGTTATTTCTGATTATATTGACCAAGCCCTCATTCTTTATCCATCAGCCAATATTGTTGTTGTTGGTGACTTTAATGTTCATCACACTGAATGGCTTGGCTCTAGTGTCAGTGACTCCGCAGGCATTAAGGCCCACAACTTTTGCCTTTCTCAATCCCTAACTTAAATAGTCAACTTTCCAACTCGCTTTCCAGACAACCCGAATCATTTACCTTCTCTACTCGACTTATGCCTTGTTTCTAATCCTAGTCAGTGCTCAGTTTCTCCACACTCACCCTTAGGTGCTTCTGATCATGGTTTGGTCTCTCTAAAACTATTATCTCATTCTTCTTTACCATCAGAATCCCCCTATCATTGTACATCTTACAACTACCTTAAAGCTGACTGGGACTCTTTCTGTGATTTTCTTCGTGATGGCCCCTGGGTAGAAATCTTTCATCTTCCTGTTGACAAATGTGCTTCTTACATAACTTCGTGGATTCAGGCTGGCATGGAATCCTTTATTCCCTCTCGACAATTCCAGGTCAAGCCTCACTCTTCTCCATGGTTTTCCTCACATTGTGCTGCTGCAATTGCCAATCGAAACCATTACTTCCATATCTATCAGCAAAACAATTCTCCAGAAAACAGACATCTAAACTAGGAACCATTCTAAAAGGTTTTGTCTAACGCCAAAGCCTGCTATTCTCAGATCATGAAATCTCGTATTTCATCACAAAAATTAGGCTCTCGTGACTTCTGGAGAATCTTTAATAGTATTAATAATATGGGCAAGTCTGTAATTCCACCTCTTTTGTATGGTTCAGACTTTGTCACCTCACCTAAAGACAAAGCTGAATTGTTTGCCAAGAACTTTTTCATCAATATCATCTCTTGATGCCACTAGTTGCGTTCTACCTGATATAGCCGTCAAACAGGTTGATCCATTGCTCGACATTCATATCACTCCAGCTTCTGTATCTAAAGTGATTTCCCGCTTAGACTCTTCTACAGCTTGCGGCCTGGATAACATACCTAACATACCTGGATAACAGAAGTGTTTTCCGGAGCTGTCGTCCATCCTTTCAAAACTATTTAACAAGTGCTTATCAGAGTCTTGTTTTCCAGCCTGCTAGAAAGCAGCATCTGTTATCCCTATTTTTAAAAATTCTGGAGAGCGATCTGATTCATCTAACTACCGTCCCATTAGTCTTTTTCCTATCATAAGCAAGGTTTTTGAATCTTTAATTAATAAACACTTAATCTCGAATCTCGAATCTCATAACCTACTTTCTGATCATCAATATGGATTTCGATCTTCTTGTTCTACGGCTGATTTGCTATCAGTAATAACCGATAGGTTTTATTGCACATTAGATAAAGGTGGAGAGGTTAAGGCCATTGCTCTTGACATTTCTAAAGCGTTTGATAAAGTTTGGCATGCTGGTCTCCTCCATAAGCTTTCTTCTTACGGTGTATCTGGAAACATCTTTAAGATTATTGAATCCTTTCTTTCCAATCATAGTATAAAAGTTGTCCTTGATGGACAGCACTCTTCTTCGTATTCTGTAACCTCAGGGGTTCCCCAAGGTTCAATCTTTGGCCTTATACTCTTTTTAATTTACATTAACAATCTTCCAGATATTCTCACATCTAAGGTGGCATTGTTCGCTGATGATACTACCATTTATTCTTGTCACGATAAGAAGCCAACTCCCTCTGATTGCTTGCAGGGGGCATCTGAGCTTGAAAATGATCTCACTTCTGCTACAGCATGGGGCTCACAGTGGCTGGTGAACTTTAATTCAGATAAAACTAAATTTTTTTCGGCCAATCGTTATCGCAATAATTTAGACCTTCCTATATTTATGAACGGTAATGTACTCAATGAGCCTCCTACCCTTCATCTTCTAGGATTAACTCTTACTTCTGATCTTTCTTGGAAACCTTATATCAAATCCATTGCAAAATTTGCATCTGCTAAAGTTGCTTCTCTTTATCGAGCTTGTCACTTTCTTACTCTGGATTCTATTCTCTATCTCTATAAATCTCAAATTCTGCCTTGTATGGAATACTGTTGCCATATCTGGGGTGGATCTTCTAATGATGCCCTTTCTTTTTTAGACAAGGTGCAAAAACGCATTGTAAACATAGTTGGACCTACTCTTGCAGCCAACCTTCAACCTCTGTCACATTGTCGTAATGTTGCTTCTCTTTCTCTTTTCTACAAATACTATAATGGGCACTGCTCTAAAAAGCTAGCGTCTCTTGTGCCATCTACAAAAATTCATTCTCGTGTTACTCGTCATTCAATTAAGTCTCATCCTTTTTCTGTTACAGTTCCTAAGTGCTCCAAAAACTCTTATTCGTCTAGTTTTTTCCTCGAACATCAGTTCTTTGGAATTCACTTCCTTCATCTTGCTTTCCTGATTCATATAATTTGCAATTTTTTAAGTCGTCTGTCAATCGTTATCTTGCTCTACAATCTTCATCTTTTCTCTTCCAGTAACTTCCAACACTAATTAGTGGTTGCTTGCAGCCTTGTTAGAAGCAAAGATGTTGAAAAATAAAAAAAAAAATTCTTACATTGAGTAGAAAATGTTACTAAAACCAAAGAAAGAATATTAAATGAAATTTGTTTAAAAATATTAACAGAAAACTAAATGTTAAATATTAACACAAAATAATCTGAAAACAGTAACACAATTAAAAGAAACTTTTATAAACAA